ATCTCTCATGGAAATAAATAAATAAGCCTTTTAATAAAATTTTACCTTAATTGAAAATTTTCTTAAAAAATATATTTAAATTAAAAAAAAAAATATTTTCATAAAAAAAATTATTTATAATAAACAATTTGCATTTTTATAATTTTCTCAATGCTCTTTTTGAAAATCGTGTTAATTTATAGTCTTTCGAATGAAAAACGAAAAAAAAAATTGGATTCTTAATTAAACGATTAAGGTAGTTGTCGTGCTGTAAGCATACCATCAGAAAATTTAAAATTTTTGTATACTTATTAAGGACATGACAATACAATTATCCTTAAAATTTGAAGTCGATTGACCGTCTATAACCAGAGATAAATTCAATTAAAAATTGGATAATTAACATGCATTTTATACGCTTTCTGTAGTTCTGTACCAGTTTCTTGGTTATAAAAAAAACTAACTTTCAGAAGATTTCAGAAAACTAATAGTCTTTTAATGTATTGTTGCTGAGTTAAAAAAAAATAATTAAGAATTTTTGACCGTCCAATTGTTTATAAATAACCGTTTAAAGTGCAACAATTTGTAAAAAGTATACATAACTAGTGTCAGATAAAAACAACTTGGCAACGCTGTACCCGAATATACATATTATTTCCGCAGTAAATTCAAACAGACTGTACAACGATTCAGTCTCCATTGGTTGAGCATAACCGACGTTGCCGGATTAAAACTTATGAAAATAATTGAAAGTATTACGTAAAGGTAACGTCTCCAGGGTACAGAAAAAATTATGAATCATTTAGCTACAAGCTCGTATACTTTTACGGTGCGTATAATCTAAAAATTTTTGACAATATTGTACCACAACAACTACCTTAATGACATTTGATTTTGTGAGCCGGCGTGACTTTTTTGGGCCTGGCGCTCGAGCTCGCTCCCGACGCGACCCGTCCCATTGCGATGCGTACTTTATTATCAATAACTCTGCTATACTATACTATCAAGTACTTGTGTGATTTAAAAATGATTTTGTACGACCATTAAATATAAATTATACGTATATATATATATATATATATATATATATATATATATATATATATATATATATATATATATATATATATATATATATATATATATATATATATATATATATATATATATATATATATATATATATATATATATATATATATATATATATATATATATGTTTAAGTTGACTACTACCCAACGCGCATGTTTATCGCAACTATTTTTAATTACCCATTTAACCGCGTGAGGGCGTAAGTGTATTACAAATAAGAGTTCGAACCGCAAGCATCCGCGAGCGAGAGTGATCTACCACGCGACATTATACCCGCTTTAACCCGCTTTATCCCGCTTGTGCATCTCCACCGCTTGAAACCAACGCTAACAGCCAGAAACCAGACCAGGGCCCTGTGTGTCGTCATCAGCACCAGCCACAAGGTAGGACTTTATTAATATTCTTACTGCCCACGTTTTATCTTGTAACAGAATTCAGTCAACTAACACCACCATCCCCTATACTGTTATATGAAATTTCAGCTTTTTATAAGCATTTCTTTTCTTGGTGTCCTCCCAAAAATATTTCAGACAGTTCAATAAGTTTTCGGTAGTCATCTCTCACAATAGACTCTTTTAGTTATTTAGAGTAAAACCCATTAAGTTTATCAATTTCAGAGTTTACGGCCTATCACCAGACCCAGACCCGGGTAACTAGCCACTCCCTGTGAAAATATAAATTTTTATTAAAGTATACACATAAATAAAACTACATTTTAACATTTGTCAATAATTTATAATATAAGGGTCACATAATAACAAACACAAAATGACTTACGATCGAAGACCTCGCGACCAACCGTGGTTACAAAATACCGCGCGCCTAACGTTGGCTAACGGAGGGTTCAGATGCAAGTCGGCACGGGTTCCCGTTTATAGAATGAGCTGAAATTTTTACTGGGAGTATATAAACACGTAATAAATATAATTAGAGGGTATGCGTAAAAAAAATAAAAATAAGGGACAACCTAATGCAGATGCAGAAAGGCAGAAAAACGATGATCATTTTTGTAGACTTATAATCGTAAAAAAAGATCATTATTTTTCTGTTAATTTTACTATTTGAAAAATAATGATATAAATTATTTATTATAAGTACAATGTGTTTTATGTTATTACCTGGTAATTCAAAAAATTTAAATAAAGTAAAACATCAATGTTATAAATACAGGGTGGTTCTACTAAAAATTGACAACCTAAATTAGGCTACCTAATAAATCTTTTTTAATTGAGCTTTTGTTTTTGAAATTATCAAACTTTGTTTTAAACTAAGTTATTTATGGACGGATTAAAAAAAAATAAGTTTTTAGTAAATTTTGACATTTTCTTTTTTAGTATCTTTAGTAGATTTATTACATTTTTTACACAAAATAACAAAAACACAATACAAATAATAAATTTGTCTTATAATAATTATTATTATAATTTTAATTATTGTAATAATAATAATACACATAATATTGTCTGTGCTCATAATATAAATTAAATTATTAACAAAAACTTAACATTATTAAATTAAATAAATTATTATTATTATTATTTTAATTTAAAAAAATACCCTTTACAAAAAAAATAAAATTGAACATTGAATTAAATTAAGTTGATTTAAAAATATAAACGTAAAAAATATACTATGTTTTTATTTGGCAAAAAGAGTATATTAAAAATATCCAACTACAAAATAATGATTGTTTCATAAAGTTAAATTACAAAATTATAATTTCATAAATCGAAGTGTTAAATAAAAATTATGTCAATACAGCAACGAATATATATTTTTTGCGGCCCGGTAGAACTCTTACTAAATTAAAATAAAAGGAGTAATTATTATTATCATAATATTATAATCATAATCAGCGTCGGAAATTTAATTCAAATTCAATATTATCTCTGTAAAAATTTTCAGAAAAATTTGGAAATTTTCAGAAAAATTGACTTGCATTTTTTCGTGTTACCCTTTGAATAAAATTTAAAATATAAAAAAGTCAATTTTTCTAAAAATTTCCCAATTTTTCCATTTTTTACCGGAAAAAACGGTTTTTTTTTCTGTCAGCAAAAATTTTTCCGGAAATTTTAAAACCCTAATCATGACAAAATATTTTAAGTAAATTATATTATTTTATATATTTTATCCAACACATGACAGTTATGACTGTCATTATTAATGTCATTTTAGACAAGTAAACTATCAAATAACACACTAGTGTGTTATAATCCATAAGTCACGAGTTCTCGTTCTCGTTCATATTTAAAGTAGTATTCTATTTATTTATTACTATTACAAGCAGAATTCACATTGATATTGAAATTAAATATAAATGTAAAATCAATACTATCTAATAAAAGCAGTGATAACGTAATGTATTACATAGTACTCCCACACCTAAATAAAAATGGTGAAATAGTAAATTTTAAATTCCTAGTTGACACTGCACAGTGTGTTAAATTGATTATCTAGCTAGACAAAACCTAAATGACATAAAAAATTATAAATTTTCTTTGGAAGCGGGGTATTTGGGTTCACTGAATCCAAATATGACATCCAAAATGCAGAAATTAAATTCGTTAATTACAAAATGGCCGGCGCCTTGTGATAAAAAATAAACTTTCGGCTTCGTCGAAAATTGGTCAACTTTCGTTTTTCCAAAGAAACGCCCTGTATATTTTTGTATATTTGAAATCTGGAGAAAATTTTGAATCCGATAAATGCACATTCGCTATAGCGGTATACCATTTTGCAATTGACCTTGAATTTTTGTGCAGTTTTAGTTTTCAATCCAGAAAGCTGCAATTTGGAGAATCAATTAGTTTTACCATCCAAATTTGCAGTAAAATGCATAAATAGTAAATGTTGCTGATAAATTGTTTTTTTAATTAACTCAACTTTTTAAATACCATCAGAGTGGCTGCTAATGTTTTTTTAAATACATATGTTTTCCCCAATCAAAACCAACCAATGTCATAAAAATTCGGTTAGTGTTTTCCACGAAAATTACACTTATGGAAAACTTAAATTACAAAAAAAATTAAGATCATTATAAAATTCCCCTGAAAGTGTAAGTATCGAATTCAAAATTTTCTCCTGATTTGAAATATGCAAAGATATGCATAGGGTTTCATTGAAAAAACAAAAGTTGGCATTATTTCCGGGGATACCGGAAGTTTTGTGGTATTCATTGAAGGTTGAAATAATTATAAATTAACTCTTTATTATTGCTCCCAAATTTCAACTCTATTTTAAAATTTAATAGTAAAAAAGGAGTGAGCCGGTTTTTGGTTTCACCCTGTAGAAGAGGCAAATTGGGGCAAGAAATAAAGGCACATAAGTAATCTTTAGACGTTATAAAACAAAACAAATATTGATAGTGCACCCGATATTGCTCGATTACAATACTTCTTGCTTAATAAATATTGTCCATATTTAACAACACCAAGTGAATTTCTATATTTATAGCCTGTTGCTGATTACTGATATTATAAATCCCTAATTATAAAAAATAAGTAATATATACCTAGATTCATAGCGGCAAAGTTCAAAATTTGATTTAACTTGAAACAATGTCAAAATCACTCCACCTTTCTGCAACACATACACGGCTAAGTATATTTATAAAAAATGATACGCCCGGAACTGACGCCTGCATAGTGCTGAATACACTGTTGCAGTACGTTCTAATTAATGGAAATCATAACAGGGAGAACTGAAGAAGCTTATTTAATTAAATTTGTCTTAATTTCAGGTTGTTTTAAAATTAGGTTTTGTCTAGCTAGATAATTAATTTAACACACTGTGCACTGGCGCAACTGTATCTTTGATAAAAACGGAAAAACTCAAAAACACGAATTTAAATTATAATCCTAACGAAAAATCATTATTAACCGGATTAGGTACTCAATCGCCCGTTGAAACCGTTGGTACTGTAGTTTTTATGCCGGAGGTAAAGTTTGGAATAATACGCGAACCCAGCAACGTACCATTCGATGGATTAATAGGTAGCGATTATCTAGATTTCGAAGATTTCGGGATTAGTGGAAAAAAACTCGAATTAGGAATAAGGTCAATTCCATTTCCGTTAAAATTACATCGATATTCAAATTCTCAACCAGAGTCGTCTTGTTTTTTATTAAATGCTCGTTCTGAGACTGTCGTTAAAGTCAAAATAAATAACCCCTCTATAAAAGAAGGTATTAGCCCTGAATTGGAATTAACAGAAGGTGTTTATTTAGCTAAAGGGCTTTTAACTGTAAACGACGACGGTACTGCATTAACAACTGTTTTAAATATTACTGATATAGTTATGAAAATCAATTATATAAATCTTACATTAGAACAATTTAATCAAGAAACAGCTAAAGTATTCACTGTAAATTCAATTAATAGTAATAAAAATAATAGAATCAAATTGCTGCATGAAAATTTAAGATTAGGACATTTGAATGATGAGGAAAAAGAACCCGTGTTAGAAATTTGCGAAAACTATAATGACATATTTTTTCTGCCTAACGATAATTTGACATGTACCGATGCAATTACTCACGAAATTCAAGTTACTGATCCTAATCCAATAAATACTAAAATTTATCGTTTGCCTGAAATACACTAGAAGGAAGTTGATAAACAAATTAACAAAATGTTAACACAAGGAATTCGGAATATCGGTATCACCTTATAACAGCCCTCTATGGGTTGTTCCAAAAAAAAATGGATGCTGCAGGGGAAAAGAAATATGGCGTAGTTATTGACTACCGGAAGTTAAATAACGTTACGGTAGGTGATGCGTACCCCTTACCGAATATTGAAGATATCCTGAATCAATTAGGCCATAGTAAATATTTGGATTTAGCTTCAGGATTTCACCAAATACGGATGAAGGAAGAAAACATCACCAAAACCGCTTTTTCTACACATTACGAATACTTGCGTATGCCATTCGGTCTAACAAATGCACCATCCACTTTTTAAAGAACAGAGTGTTGTCAGGTTTGCAATGCTTTGTTTATCTAGACGATATTGTCTTTTATTCTTCCTCAATTATAGAACACAGCAATAAATTTAAAGCAATTTTCGATAGATTAAGGTATAATAATTCAAAACTACAGCCAGATAAATGCGAATTGATGCATAGAGAAGTTGCTTATTTAGGCCATATAATTAGTTAAGAAGGTGTAAAACCGAACCCTCAAAAAATAAAAGCCATTTTGACCTATCCTAAACCAAAGGACTGTAAACAAATAAAACAATTCCTTGTTTTATTAGGTTACTATAGACGTTTTATTAAAGACTTTTCGAGGCAAAACCTTTAACAAAATTATTAAAAAAGGACAAATCATTCACATGGACCGACGAACAAAATCAGTAATTCGAATATTTTAAAAATGATTTAACGTCTCAACCGATACTTTAATTTCCTAATTTCGAAAAAGAATTTATTTTAACTACAGACGCATCTAATTGTGATATAGGCGCAGATTATCCCGCTTGTGCATCTCCACCGCTTGAAACCAACGCTAACAGCCAGAAACCAGACCAGGGCCCTGTGTGTCGTCATCAGCACCAGCCACAAGGTAGGACTTTATTAATATTCTTACTGCCCACGTTTTATCTTGTATCAGAATTCAGTCAACTAACACCACCATCCCCTATTTCTCATTTTCATACAGTCCACTGCCTACCAATATATATACAGGGTGTATCACGGTCGTTGGTAGGTTCCCTGATTAAAATATGTTATAATACGGGTTATTTTCGTGAAAGCCTTTTGAGAATGGGAAAACATTGGATATTTTTAAAAAATATTTTCCTTAATAATTTACATTTCAATTGGGTGATTTTTAGTAATCAACACTGTGTTTCGTGACAAGGCGTCCACGTTAGAATTGATTTTGCCTGGTTTATACTTTATTTCATAATTGAATTCCTCCAGTTTTAATCGTCACCTGACAAGTTTAGAACTTGGGTCTTTGCAGTTAAATAGCCAAGTTACGATGGTCGGTTAGGATAGTAGATTTTCTACCATACAAATAAGGGCGAAAATGATGAGTAGCCCACACTATGGCTAGTAGTTCCTTCTCAGTAGTTGAATAATTACACTCGGCTTTGTTTAGAGTCCGAGAGGCTTATGCAATTGGTAAATCTTTATTTATTTCGCCTTGAGATAATCTGCGCCTATATCACAATTAGATGCGTCTGTAGTTAAAATAAATTCTTTTTCGAAATTAGGAAATTAAAGTATCGGTTGAGACGTTAAATCATTTTTAAAATATTCGAATTACTGATTTTGTTCGTCGGTCCATGTGAATGATTTGTCCTTTTTTAATAATTTTGTTAAAGGTTTTGCCTCGAAAAGTCTTTAATAAAACGTCTATAGTAACCTAATAAAACAAGGAATTGTTTTATTTGTTTACAGTCCTTTGGTTTAGGATAGGTCAAAATGGCTTTTATTTTTTGAGGGTTCGGTTTTACACCTTCTTAACTAATTATATGGCCTAAATAAGCAACTTCTCTATGCATCAATTCGCATTTATCTGGCTGTAGTTTTGAATTATTATACCTTAATCTATCGAAAATTGCTTTAAATTTATTGCTGTGTTCTATAATTGAGGAAGAATAAAAGACAATATCGTCTAGATAAACAAAGCATTGCAAACCTGACAACACTCTGTTCTTTAAAAAGTGGATGGTGCATTTGTTAGACCGAATGGCATACGCAAGTATTCGTAATGTGTAGAAAAAGCGGTTTTGGTGATGTTTTCTTCCTTCATCCGTATTTGGTGAAATCCTGAAGCTAAATCCAAATATTTACTATGGCCTAATTGATTCAGGATATCTTCAATATTCGGTAAGGGGTACGCATCACCTACCGTAACGTTATTTAACTTCCGGTAGTCAATAACTACGCCATATTTCTTTTCCCCTGCAGCATCCATTTTTTTTTGGAACAACCCATAGAGGGCTGTTATAAGGTGATACCGATATTCCGAATTCCTTGTGTTAACATTTTGTTAATTTGTTTATCAACTTCCTTCTAGTGTATTTCAGGCAAACGATAAATTTTAGTATTTATTGGATTAGGATCAGTAACTTGAATTTCGTGAGTAATTGCATCGGTACATGTCAAATTATCGTTAGGCAGAAAAAATATGTCATTATAGTTTTCGCAAATTTCTAACACGGGTTCTTTTTCCTCATCATTCAAATGTCCTAATCTTAAATTTTCATGCAGCAATTTGATTCTATTATTTTTATTACTATTAATTGAATTTACAGTGAATACTTTAGCTGTTTCTTGATTAAATTGTTCTAATGTAAGATTTATATAATTGATTTTCATAACTATATCAGTTGTTAATGCAGTACCGTCGTCGTTTACAGTTAAAAGCCCTTTAGCTAAATAAACACCTTCTGTTAATTCCAATTCAGGGCTAATACCTTCTTTTATAGAGGGGTTATTTATTTTGACTTTAACGACAGTCTCAGAACGAGCATTTAATAAAAAACAAGACGACTCTGGTTGAGAATTTGAATATCGATGTAATTTTAACGGAAATGGAATTGACCTTATTCCTAATTCGAGTTTTTTTCCACTAATCCCGAAATCTTCGAAATCTAGATAATCGCTACCTATTAATCCATCGAATGGTACGTTGCTGGGTTCGCGTATTATTCCAAACTTTACCTCCGGCATAAAAACTACAGTACCAACGGTTTCAACGGGCGATTGAGTACCTAATCCGGTTAATAATGATTTTTCGTTAGGATTATAATTTAAATTCGTGTTTTTGAGTTTTTCCGTTTTTATCAAAGATACAGTTGCGCCAGTGTCAACTAGGAATTTAAAATTTACTATTTCACCATTTTTATTTAGGTGTGGGAGTACTATGTAATACATTACGTTATCACTGCTTTTATTAGATAGTATTGATTTTACATTTATATTTAATTTCAATATCAATGTGAATTCTGCTTGTAATAGTAATAAATAAATAGAATACTACTTTAAATATGAACGAGAACGAGAACTCGTGACTTATGGATTATAACACACTAGTGTGTTATTTGATAGTTTACTTGTCTAAAATGACATTAATAATGACAGTCATAACTGTCATGTGTTGGATAAAATATATAAAATAATATAATTTACTTAAAATATTTTGTCATGATTAGGGTTTTAAAATTTCCGGAAAAATTTTTGCTGACAGAAAAAAAAACCGTTTTTTCCGGTAAAAAATGGAAAAATTGGGAAATTTTTAGAAAAATTGACTTTTTTATATTTTAAATTTTATTCAAAGGGTAACACGAAAAAATGCAAGTCAATTTTTCTGAAAATTTCCAAATTTTTCTGAAAATTTTTACAGAGATAATATTGAATTTAAATTGAATTTCCGACGCTGATTATGATTATAATATTATGATAATAATAATTACTCCTTTTATTTTAATTTAGTAAGAGTTCTACCGGGCCGCAAAAAATATATATTCGTTGCTGTATTGACATAATTTTTATTTAACACTTCGATTTATGAAATTATAATTTTGTAATTTAACTTTATGAAACAATCATTATTTTGTAGTTGGATATTTTTAATATACTCTTTTTGCCAAATAAAAACATAGTATATTTTTTACGTTTATATTTTTAAATCAACTTAATTTAATTCAATGTTCAATTTTATTTTTTTTGTAAAGGGTATTTTTTTAAATTAAAATAATAATAATAATAATAATTTATTTAATTTAATAATGTTAAGTTTTTGTTAATAATTTAATTTATATTATGAGCACAGACAATATTATGTGTATTATTATTATTACAATAATTAAAATTATAATAATAATTATTATAAGACAAATTTATTATTTGTATTGTGTTTTTGTTATTTTGTGTAAAAAATGTAATAAATCTACTAAAGATACTAAAAAAGAAAATGTCAAAATTTACTAAAAACCTATTTTTTTTTAATCCGTCCATAAATAACTTAGTTTAAAACAAAGTTTGATAATTTCAAAAACAAAAGCTCAATTAAAAAAGATTTATTAGGTAGCCTAATTTAGGTTGTCAATTTTTAGTAGAACCACCCTGTATTTATAACATTGATGTTTTACTTTATTTAAATTTTTTGAATTACCAGGTAATAACATAAAACACATTGTACTTATAATAAATAATTTATATCATTATTTTTCAAATAGTAAAATTAACAGAAAAATAATGATCTTTTTTTACGATTATAAGTCTACAAAAATGATCATCGTT